CCATCTCTTCAGTCGGGCTCTACTAAATATAGATCCCGAACGGAGATCATAAACATAGCCACGTCTTTTTATGCAAACCTTTACAGACAACCGGACTCATGGTGTCGTGAAAGCAACGTCAATAAATGTAGAGATATCGCACCAACCGAAAAGTTCACAGGCCCTGAAATCCTGAAACAAATAGAAAAGCTCAAATCAGAAAAAAGCCCTGGCCAAGACGGAATCACAAATGAATGCATTAAACTCGCTAAACACCTACTGTTGACACCTCTCACGATACTATGGAACAAGATATTACAAGAGGAAACTGTGCCACAATCATGGGCGGAATCAATAATTATCTTATTATATAAAAAAGGCAACCCAGCAGATATAAGCAACTATCGCCCTATAAGTCTCACGCCTTGTCTCTACAAACTATTTGCCTCTTGTCTACTTGAAAGAATATCTAGAGACATAGACGAGTTCCAACCAATTGAACAGGCTGGATTTAGAGGCGGATTTAGCACGGTCGACCACATCCAAGTAGTCGACCAGGTGATCGAGAAATATAAAGAGTTCCGCAGATCATTATATGTAGCTTTCATCGACTACAAAAAAGCATTTGACTCTATATCACACGACAGCATTTGGGAAGCACTGAAAGCAGTTAATATAAGAACAAAATTTATAAATATCCTTAAAAACATCTATACTATTAGCACAAGTAGAGTCAAGTTAGATAGAACAGGTACAAAAATAAATATAAGGAGAGGCGTGAAACAGGGTGACCCGCTATCTCCAAAACTATTCATAGCTGTCCTCCAATACATAATGGCAAACTTACCATGGTCTAAGCGAGGTCTCTACATCAATGGAAACTATCTAAGTCACCTCAGGTTCGCCGACGATATAGTATTGTTTTCAGAAACCCCTCAACAACTAAATGATATGGTAAACGACCTACACAAAGTTAGTATAGAAATTGGTCTAGAAATAAACTTCGATAAAACTAAGGTATTGACTTATCATTATAAGACACCCATCACAATAAACAACAATACTCTCGAGTATGTTGAAAACTATGTCTACCTTGGTAAGCTAATCTCTTTCAACAAAGATAGAAATATAGAGGAAGTCAACCGAAGAATAGCAATCTCATGGAGTAAGTACTGGGCACACAAAGACATATTCAAATCTCAGCTCCCAATGCACATCAAGAAAATAGTTATGGACACAGAAATACTACCATGCCTAACTTACGGATGCCAAACCTGGATCTTCGACCATAAAACCAGTAACAAAATTCAAAATACGCAGAGAAAAATGGAACGTAGTTTACTAGGAATCAAATTAAAAGATAGAATCAGAAACACGAAAATACGAAAGAGGACTAAAATAACTGATGCCTTAACTTTTTCACTTCAAAGAAAGTGGAGGTGGGCAGGTCATGTTGCCAGATATAACGACGACAGATGGACTATTAGATCTGTTAAATGGCGCGGACCACAAGGCAAGAGAAGCAGAGGCCGGCCAAGTGCCAGGTGGGCAGATGAGCTACTAGCAACAACAGGCCAAAACTGGCTGACTACAGCTAAAGATAAAAAGAAATGGAAATCCTTGGAGGAGGCTTTTACCCGAAGGGGGTTCATACAAAACAATCAATGAATTTATTGAATTAGAATATTAAATACCTATCATACATAATACATATGAAATTAGTAATTATGCATATATATATTATTTAATTGAAATTATTTGTAAAAATTGTATTGTAATTATCTTATTTTTCTGTAACAATGCGAATGTTTTGTGTGGAAAAAATAAAGCTTATTATTATTATTATTATTATTATGGCGTTGGTAAGATAGAAGTTTGTACGGAATTAATCAAATCTTGACTTGAAGATATAGATAACTAGTGACGTCATTCATTCTTGTTAGTATTAAACTGGTTCTACGTATAGAATTTATTATTAACTATATTACCTGTCTCTTTATGAGATACAGACTAAATCAATAAATAATAGAAAACATCTCATACATCGCTCAGATCAGCTATGATATTTTCATACAAAAACAGTTGACTGTTTTGTAAAAAAAATTGCATAGCTATTCAGCCCAGCATACTGGCAGCTTATAACTTCAAATAATAAAACCTTTATTATCTTTTGAAGTAGGTTTCATTTGATTGAACAATTATACTATGATAGTGCTGGGCTCAACATGGAGGCTGTTTTATTACAGAATAGCTTAAGTAGCAAAAGTTAGCATTATGGAAGTCTGAAATAACTAAAGTAAATAGCACATACATTGTACTAGACTATAGACAATATATGCACATAATTCTATTTTCTCTACTGGCACTGCTGGATATAGAACCCATGGTCCTTAGACATGCCGGAAACTATTCATCTGGTGTGCGAGCTTTTAAAGCAAGGAGATAGTCTTAGTTCATATTCTCGATATTCATATTTAATTTTTCGGCTATAAGACGTATTCGTAAGTTATGCATAACATGTTAATGATTGACACTTGCCAATTGATTCTCAATTGTGTCAATATGGCGCTTGATTTTGCTTATGAGATGTTTGGCCAGCAATTGACTGGGCGTCAATGAATGGGGCACGATCGACACAAGGTTGCCGGAGGATCTATCTACAACTTGAGTGTATATTGTTACTTAGATTAATTTGAGTTTGAGCACCACTCGGAGACAAGTCGCATGTACGACAATTATATATATTTAATATAGTGAAGCTTTCAAGTTGAATTAGTCATTAATTTATCAGTGTACGTTTGGAAATGTGAGTTTTATAAATGTAGTTATGTGAAATGAATTTAGCTTTTCTTCAAATATAACATGGTAGTGGAAACATACAGTTTTCATTAATTTTTTTTATTTATATTTGTATGCAAATAAGTATTAATATAGCATAATTTTTGTTTTCTTTTTTTCAATCCTGAACCACGCCTTAGTCGTCAGCAAAGATAAGCTAAAATCTTCACCGCCTCTATACTGCCGTGAGCATTGTTATATAGGGATATTCGAATTAAAACCTAAATTATGCAAAAACTATTGGTAAATAAACATTGCTGACGTAATCATCAGCCAGACCCTCTGCTCACATCATGTCATGAAAATACGTGATGCAAAGATGTATTCATTACCCCTCGGTGCTTACATAATACCTGACTGACCCCTATCATGTGATACAAAAATGTGTTATGTTAATTACGTTCAGCTATTATAATTACTTAAATCATGTTATAAGTTTCTAAGTTAAAGTTAAATCGTTTATCGTGTGTGTGTAATTTATATGGGTAAATGTGCTTGAATTACCAGGCCTTAATTAGGAGGTGTACGATGTGATGCGATATTTATAATAGGCAAATTGGAATCTTTCACATGGTAATTTTCAGTAAATAACAAAAGGGTTTTAAGAGCGGGCAGAGAGAAAAGCGCGGCAAAAATGGTTTTTACTCTCAAACAATTACGATTATTGTAAAATTTCTTCATAATTATCACGGCTACTAAGTGACTCACATACTTATAAATTTTCCCTAAAAAAGTGTATAATTACAGGAATAAGTGGTGTATTTTTATAGGTATCTTTGTTTTATCGGTATCTATAGGTATCTTAGTATCTTTGTATATATGATTCTTATTTTGAATTACTATTTATTTGAAAGTCGTTCCTTTGTGCAAAACAAGTTTAAACCTAGTGATTTTGGGTATATACGCCTTCTTAACAAACAGTAGGGGCTAAAAATTTGTTGCGTAGCGACGAAATTAACGTTATTTGTTTGCGGCAGCAAGGAAGGAATCATCTTCGCTATAATTTTAGGGTTATACGAGAAGAAATTCATAAAAGAATACACAAGTAATAAACTGGGCGAATCAGTGCGCTTACAACGAATGTGGAACGTAGTAAATATTTTCTTTGGCGTTGACGAATTCCGATGGTTGTTTACATGTTTACCCTATTATGTTTACAATTGTTTACGCATCATCAATCATTTTCGTGTTAAATCAAGTGTCCATCGGACAGGTACAAATAGGCATGTTCTATTGAAGTATGAAATTTGTTGACATGATTCTAAATTTAATGGTGTTTTAACGGTAATATGTTCTTAAGTAGGCCGATTACGATACTTTTGATCAAAACAACTTAAAGTAATGTTACTACAAGTGATTGTTTACATTGACATGGTACTGTTTGTGTTACGACACAGTCTACCAATAATGGCAGACGAATCTTTAACCTAAACAAATATCACTAATACCCATATACGTAACAGTTAAGGATACTATAATTGTGGAAATCAAAGTTGTGTGATGTTTTTAAGCATAATAAATTCAAAATATGAATGGTCTAGCTGTTTTTCTGCAACTCCGCTCGTATGAATTATAGCATATATATATATAGCGGCCGCGGGCGAAACAAAACAAATCGGTCTAGTAGTTTTATTTTGTAAAAAAATAAGTTCAGAGCCTATTAAGAGCAAACTAACAATCAAATCTTTTCTTTTTATATTAGTATGGATAGTATACCTATATATGAATACTATACTTAATTGCAGTAAATTGCTAAAGGTAAATTTTAAGCAAAATGTAAATATGTCTTTAAAGTATTGTATATAATTTTTATATTTTTGTTTTGGAAAAGGGATTTTTTATCAAAATGGAAATACGGTCTTGTATTTACGTATTGTATTACTAATAATACCTACTACTTACTCGTCTTCAGGTAATCTAATCAGCTCTAATAGGAATTAAGTCAACGAGCTGATAATCGCACATTATCATTAACTTTTTAAATCAAAATTTAAAATTCTGATGTCTTTATAATTATTGGCAACTAAAACATTTCGGCGGCTCTACCGCGTAATGCAAGCTCCGAATGATCTGTCAAGTCGGTCGTTTTGTACACGTTTTGTTTGTCTCTCTTTTCTTTTATCTACTCTTTGGGCACATTAATTGTTTTGTGATAGATATTTATTGGTGGATACTTATTTCAGACGGCGAATGCAGCAGTTGAAACTATGGCAACAACGGGAGAAAGAGTGGGCAAGGTCAAGGGCGAAACGCGAGAAGAGCAACAAACGCAACATTTACTTCAACGACAGCGTGATGCTGCTCGAGGCGGCCGCCAGAAACGACATCGAGGAAGGTATTATCCACAGTTGAACATCTATATTATATAAATTGCACGTCTATCTTCACTATGGGTTAAATAATAGGCTCCGAAAATTTCTAAAACAATTTCACCTATGGGAACCTACATTGAACATTGAACACAGGCTATAAATTACACAGGCGGAGGCGCCGGAAAATATCTAGTATTATATAAATACTAATGAATTTATGTGTCATATCTACGTTGTTGTACTGAAGACCTCTATGGCAGAGTGACTTCCACCAATTTCAAGGTGTTGCCATCTCTGGGCTACTGGGTTCAGGTCTTATCAATATAGAACAAGAACTCTCTTCATTGTCTCGTGTCTAGGTGTTGGTATCTTCGTTGCTTCAGCTTTCTCTTAATATTAATGCTAAATTATTGGAATAAGAGCAATTTGTCTTAAATATATGTGGTCAAGTGTTGTTCTGTTTTTGTTGGTTCTATTACCGACTTAGAAAAGTAACATTTAATCAAATCAATATTCACCTCAGATATTAGTGCCAAAATCATTAAAAATGAATAAAAAAGACTAATTTTTTTAAATTAGTGCAACACATTCATATTAACACAATTTGTAAATATAAAATCTTATTCGCATTACAATGAATATTGGATTTTATATTTCAGTGCGACGACTCTTAGCGCGCGGGGTGACACCAGACGCCACAAACGAAGATGGTCTGACAGCACTACACCAATGCTGCATCGACAATAACGAAGCAATGATGCGGCTATTACTCGACCACGGCGCGAACGTCAATGCAGAAGACAGCGAGAAGTGGACGCCCCTCCACGCTGCTGCCACCTGTGGGAATCTTAACCTTGTCCGCATTTTAATACAAAGGGGTGCGAATTTACTGGCTGTGAACGGAGATGGAAATATGCCATACGATATATGCGAAGAGGAAAGGACTTTGGACGCTATCGAGAGTGAGATGGCAGCTAGAGGGGTGACGCAACGGTTGATAGATGAAACACGGGCGGCGACCGAGATGAGAATGCTAATGGACGTTGCCGAATTAGTGAAGGAAGGAATGGACTTGGACGAACCTAGAGACAATCAGGGTGCCACTTTGGTGAGTTTGCGTTTTATTTATGCATTGTTGAGTGGGATTTTTAAATTTGATTAATGATGGTGGTGTGGGAAATTTGACAACGTACGATCTACAGTAAAACATTTGGTTGATTTCGAATCTATTTTATAACATCTTAAGGTTTAAAATATAAATATTAGCTCTTTTAAAATATAATACTAAGAACGATTCAGATTTCTTAAGCTATATCTATTTTTAGTTCAATATTATCAGTTGTCTTTATGTTTTGTTTGTAGATTATCTGAATACACTTATTCCAAATCTCAGATAAAACTAATACTCTCTAACTTATTGACTTTATGTCTTACTTTATTGTAATCGTAAACTGACAACTAATATTATTTCAATTCCCACCATAGAGAGCCAAACATCATAAAAGTTTTTAGTAAACAATGGAGGAATGTCTTAAAAAAGGTATAAATGAATCTAATTTTGAAGTTGAGAAGAGCAGGATCTTATTCATATTTTACTATACTTTTCCTTAAATATAAAAACCTTGACATGGCATCAGCCTTCTACGATATGTTTACGGTATATTACTTAAAGGCAAAAAAGGACAGAAAAATTAAAATGCTTAGTATTTATTTTATTTTTTATTCCTAACTACAAAATAAAACGGTAAACAGTATAGCAGTAGTAAAACACCATTGTGCTTTAGATTTGCAATTTTTATGTCAATGTTATGCTAAGTTTTTGTTTCCTTTATTCTTTACATAACAACATATGATAACATATAAATATTATTTCGTAGACCTACCTATATCTATCAGACTGATATTATCTCTTTCTCAATTTAGCAGTCAGTTTTAAATATCTGAATCAACAGCGGACATAATTTATAGGCAGGGGAGATTTAAAACAAAAATGAATTAACATTTGGAATATTTACTATGAAGTATGACATCATTTTGGTACAGTCATATCGTTTATAGAAATAACTACCTTGATCCTGTTCTTGTGTTGCTTGCACAACCTTCACTATAATGATTACTACGTGCATACTTTTATATATATGTGTTGCGTTTGACTTTGTCATTTGATTGGTACTTTCAAAGGTTCAAGCCAATTAGAATATCGGAATTTCGATAATAATGTTTTTAGGATTTCAAAGATTATGCCGTTATAACAACAAATATTTAAAGGAAAGAATGAAATAAATATTTAAGGTGGCTCTCATACAACAAAAGTGTGTTTGTTTTTGCTGCTACCAGGCTGTATCTTATGAATCATGGTAGACATTTGAAATTTTCACAAATGATGTATTTCTGTTGCCGCTATAACAACAAATACTAAAAAACAGAATAAAATAAATATTTAAGGGGCTCTCAAACAAAGTGTTTTTTTTTTTTGCTCGTTTTGGTACGAAATCCTTCGTGCGCGAATTGCCTGACACTTAGCCGGTTTTTTAATCTTGCAGGTTTTTTGGATTAGGGTGGTGGAAGAATTCATAAAATTGTATAAATATACGTTTAAAATATACTACTATAAACTGAGGAATAAACACAGCATTTTGTTCAAATGACATGTTTTTGTGCTCAATTTGGAAATTTGTTGTACGAAAATGTATGAAAAATAAGAGCTTTTGAAGCACTAAATAAATTATATTCCATTTTTAGTAAAATGTATGTCATAGCTTTAGTAGTTTTTGTTAGAAAACCGAGTGTAAATAATGACGAGTGAGTTTTCGGTGTCGAAATTCGCCTGAATATTTTTATTTATCGCAATTGTAAAGCAGATCCGACAATAATCATATCAACATATTTAAGACAGTATATGCAGCAAGAAGTCTTTAGTGTTTGAAATTATAGTCATTATTATAATATTTACATGGCCTACATACTTGTAATTTAGTAGTGTTAATGTCTGTTTTAAATCGGCTTTATATCTTCATTTAAGCATTTAGGTCGCGTGAGCGGAGTTATTTGTTTAAATGGTTACATTTCTTAATAGCAAAATGTTTTTTATCCATCTTATACTTACTAGTATAATTAATGAAATTTAAAATACAATTAACTAGCTAACCTGCCAAAAGCCGTTTACCCATATAGATTTGGGGTGGACCACCCTTATCACCTAGATGTTAGTTGTAATAAAAGATACTAAACTATTACCAGACTTACTGGACATAAAATGTTATCAAAATTGGTCAAGCCGGAGTACGGTAACTAAAACTGTGACACGGGTATTGTATAGTACAAACATTGGATATTGCGTGAATGACGTATGCAGGTTAAAGAATCATGTTCACTTTCCATACATTGATTGACCTGGTTCATGTTTTTTTAAAGGGCGCGTCTACCTACTATCATTGATAATTTAAATTAGTTTTTGCTTAAAAAAGAATAATATCTAAGCATTTTTTCATCTGGAGTCCAGGTAGATTCATCATTTGTAAATAATGTTTTGAAGTTATATCAGCTGTCAAAACTCAAGATAATTGTGAAGCTACTTAAAAATTAATGCGTTTATATAAAATGTTTTTGTTTTGACGTGTAAATAAATTAATATGTCATTGTTACTGTGTAATTTTTAACCTTATGATGAAAGTATTTTTTTCCGTAGTAGAGGAAAAATAACAAACCGTCATTGTAGGGTCCGAATCACGTAGAGATATTTTTTTTCGGCCTTGCTATTTTAATCCTGACGTTATGTTAAGACAATTACATGATATGAAATAATTAAAAAAAAAAAAAACTAAATTTTGAGATATCATCACATCACTAGACGCGTTAGTAAATTTTAAAGTCAAAATTGGAGATGATTCTTTCGTTCAGCCAACAATTTAGTAACTGTTAATAGGTATAATAACGTTTTGTATGTATTAGGACAATTTTTTTTTGTTACAGCTACACATAGCATCTGCAAATGGCTACATAAAAGTGGTGGAGTTTCTATTGGAGCATCGTGCGTCTACCGACGTGGTGGATCATGATATGTGGCAACCAGTACACGCGGCCGCCTGCTGGGGACACGTTAGTATTACGCCCATGGCATGGCATTTTGTTTATCGAATTATGTTCATGATATGTTACTACTACTCTGTTTGTTCATGAACCAAAATCCGAATAATATTGAATTGTTCTTTTAATTTTATCTTCGTGTTAATTCATATCCGTGAAGATTATCTGTGGCTCCGTTACATCATAAATTATCGAAAAATGCGTTTCTTTGGAGTATTAGCATCTAGAAAATGGGCGAAATTTCGTTTTCGAAAAAAAAATAGGTCTTCAAATGTAATTTTCGTTTTCGGAAAAACAAGTAAAATATGTCTCCAAATGTCATGTTAATGTTGTACGAGTAGTATTTATTCTTCACTGACATGACACATTAATATTACATTCATAGTTAATGTGATCATGCTTTGGTTAATTTATTTATGCAATAAAAGGAACCCTGTTATTTAAAATACAATACCACTAGTTGTTTTCCTACGACATCGCCCGCGTATATTATAGCCTATGTAACTCGCGTATAATGTAGCTTACCATAGGTGAAAGAATTTTCATGATCAAATCATCAAATTCCGAAAATTACCCCCCATTCGTAGACACTTTACCTCTTTGTAATATTGACTTAAACTCCGAATAAAAGTGTTAATGTCACACGTTAGTCGTCAGTCAATCGGTCATTCCATTTTTTTGACGTGATATAAATTAACTGTTCTAAACTGATAGTAAGTACCTTTGATTAGCTGATAATTTTTTCGCGAGTTCAGTGTTGCTCCCATAGTAAAAGTTTTACTCGACTCACCCCACGAAGTCCTGGTACAAAATAATTTTCCAACTTATATTTAAAAACGAAAGGTCACTCACTCATAACGAAATATTAGAAGCTACAAGTGCTAGGAGTTTATAAATTTGCATGGGGTCTTTTTAGGATTTCTGTGCTTACTAAGACGGGATTTTGCGACATTCATTGTTTTTAGGTTTTGTTCTCCAAAATATCATCCCAAAAAAAATTCGCAAAAAGTCATTTTCTCATAAGATAATTTTCTCAAAAATCAATTTCGCACGATGTCTCTTTTGAAGAATGTCATTCGCAAAATGATTATGTTCTCTGTATATTATTAAGTAGCCCTAATGCTAACAACCAAACAGGTTAAAATAAAAAAATGAATGAATTAATGAATAATCTTCTTATTAAGTAGCCCTAATGCTAACAACGACATTAGGGACATTAGAAAGTGACGTTTTTCAAAGAAAGAGAAAAAGTAATTTTTCTGAGAAAATGACTTTCTGCAACTTTTTCGTGATGACATTTTGAGAAAGTGACATACCACGTCAAAATCGTTTTTGGGGTTGATGGTTTGTAAGACTTTTCTTTATTACAAATTCTTATCTATCTTCATCATCACGCGGACAAAGTAAAGTCAAATAACAACAGCTAGTTCTTATTAAATCGTAGATTTTAACTTAGGTCTTATTTATTTTAGTGTTTTGTTCCAGTTAGAGGTGTTAGAGCTACTTGTGCAATATGGCGCTGATCTCAATGTAAGAAATAAGCACGATGAAACACCCGCAGGTCAGTATATTATAATTAAGTAAGTTTAGAAACTAATATCTTTGTAAGTTTACTCATTAATTAACATAAAAATTTAAGATATATCACACTCATGCTTACACATCTCAACAAAAAAAGTCGTAACCATAAACACAGCTCCTTTCCCACAGTTATACACTTTCATGCGTCACGATCAAATAAAGTGATGAGATATGACGTAAGCACGAAGCATGCAATGAGGTTTAGTAGCTAAATTAATTTTCAGTTGTGTTTTTTCGACGAGCTTGTGTATTTTGTTTAATTCAAATTAATAACAGCAAAATCAAAAGCGATTTAACTTATCGTAAGGACAACGTCACTATTATTCGTCAAGGTGCGCTAGTCGTAATCGTCATAGGTGCGCGAGTCGTAATGAAGCACGCCGAAGTGCTTTGTATAAAAAGTGCAAAAATTATAAACTTTCTATCTTAAAAAGGAAAAATATATACTATTGGGACTTGCAATGCTTAATTTGTAATATCACCTATTATAATTATAATATCTAATCAGATAAAAATTAAATTGTGTCCTCTTAATAAATTATTATTCGACTAATATTTTTGTTAAATAATAAAATATAATAAAAAAAAACTTTCTAAATTTCAACTGTTACTTAGGCTTGGTATTAAAATTCAGAAAAATAGAACAAATTATATTTATCGCCATACGGTGTGCAAATATAATTTGCAATTGTTAATGCATAATTTAATCTCAACATTTGTTTGTTTGGTGTAGATATATGTGAGGAGGGAGAGATGCGCGCGCGTATCCTACGTCTAGCGGTGGAGCAAGAGGAGCGGCGGAGACGCGCGCTACACGCGCACGCGCACACCGAGCGATCCGCCACCGCGAGACGATCTTCATCCACCGCCAGTACTAGCAGGTACAGAAGAAGGAAGAAAGATAGACTTTTTTTTTAATTTTTATTAATCGTCTTCATTAATATTTTTTCTTAATGAAAAAAAAAAATGCTTAAAAAATCCATTTGTGCCTGGCACTCTGAGATGGGACTTGAACCCATGATCTTTCGCAATCTGGGCTCTAACCACTGAGCTGCCCAGGACCTAATAAGACCTACAATTTTTTTTCTTCAGTCCTGTTAAGTCCATATTTTTCAGTATTGCATTGTGAATCCAAAATTGATCAAATTAATAATCATTAATATTTCACAATTAAAAAAATACATTTCCAAGTCATTACAAATCACTAACGGTCAGCTGCACAGACGTCTATTAAGGTTTGATGACGTCTTTAGACTCTAATGAATGTCAAATTTATATCGGTAATGTCGCTTTAAACTGATGACAATTTTAACGGACGTTTGTGAAACTGGCTGTAAGTTTTTATCTACGTGCCAAAGTTCGCTATATAGTATATTTAAAGTACTTCAATATTATTTGGTAGAATAAATAATCTCACAATATCTGAGAGACATCAATTTATTTTATTAGTATTTGGTAAATAAATAATATTATTACACAAATCAATTAAGTTTTCACCATAAATTAATTCACAAGAGCATGAAACGTGTTAATAGAAAAAATAATAAAAACAAAAATGAAACAAACATTGGACAATATGAGATATATAAGATTTACAATTTAATCATTGAGTATTTCTCTCAACTTCTTCGTATTAACATAAATACTGTTATTAAAAATGTCACTTTTAATTGGAGAATCGTATACTTAAATCACTCCTTACAAATTGAAGCCACGAAGTGACGTCACGCCGTGCTGCTGTAGCGAAAAACTTATGAGTGTCTAGGCAATCTTTGTAAAATCAAATAGTTACTTGTCATTAGTTAAAAGCGATATTGGTCATACAAATTCGACATTAATTAGAGATTAAAGGCGTCATTAAACCTTAATGGATGTTTGTGCAACTGTTTATGTAAATAATTTAATGCTATATCTATTTAGCAAGATTGATGATATTTATCATCATCATCATCATCAGCCTTTTTTACGTCCCCACTGCAGGGGCTCAGGCCTTCCTTATGGATGGTTAAGGAGGATGGGCCATGACCTTCCACGCTGGCCCAATGCGGATTGGAGGGTATTAACGACTGCAAATGCACCTGGGACCAACGGCTTAACGTGCCTTCCGAAGCACGAAGTAGCTCGAGATAATAATTTTTTGGTCACCCATTGCGTGACCGACCCTTGCGAAAGTTGCTTAACAACAACAATCGCTGGCCGCGGCGCTTATCCTCTACGCCAACGAGCTACTTATATGATATTTAGAAGTAGTAATATTTTCCAAATTAGTGTAAAAAAAAAATATTTTGTTAAATTGTGTACAAGTTGAAATGGTTCATATTTTCCCAACATAAGTATAATGTTCTATAAATATCGTTGCAATTTAAATTGTCACATTAACTAAATGCATATTTTATGTGACGTGTCATCGATTTGATTGTCATACTCTTATTATTATTTTTTTGGTAAAAGATACCGGAATCTAGTCCATACAGCCATATACCAATATCTGAGATTTGTGATGTTTTTGTCTTTGTTACTGTATTGTTGGGACTTTTTTGTATTTTCTGTATTTTTTCTTATATAACGTTGTATCACGACTGGATTCCGCAGAATACCAGTGCAGGTGGTACTACGAACTGCTTATACTGATCTAGGTCCAGTGTTGGCATCACACGACAAACGATTCCGTTAATGAGCTCAGTTGATGTTTTCTAAAATTATTTATGGGAACAACTTTAGCTTCACTTTGAAATTGGTACTGATATTTAATATTATTCCAGAGTTCGGTCTGTACGTCGAACCTCGCTGCGAGAGAAACAGTTGGCAGCTAAAGCGGACGCGCGAGGCGAGGCAAGGTTAAGGGAGACATTCGATTCGGCAGTAGACGATGAATTGCAGGTCAGTTTGGTAGGTGGATAGGTTATGTGGTTATATGAAGTCATTACGAAATTGATATTATCTTATGTATGTATGTTTGTTACTCTTTCACATAAAAATTACTGACCGGATTTTGATGGAATTTGGTATACGGATAATTCTAAACCTAAATTAACACATGGGCTTTTTATCTTACTGAAATTTAGGCCTTGGTTACCAAGGGACCTCGTGGCCAAAACCACTGACGGAAAGATAGTCTTATATAAGAAATACCTTTTGACAGCTTTCCATGTATATTCAAGTAACAAATTAAAATATTGATAAAAATTGATTCATGGTACTTTTCATGTTCTACTGCGCTATATTACGATTACTCTCGAAAATCAAACAATTTGTTACAAAGTTTGTTACAAAGAATCAGATTGCTGCAATAGTTATAACTTAATTTAAAATAAGCTTTTTTCTTTAGAGTACTCCAAATACGATTCCACTGATTTTTTACCAACTAGTTACTCATATGCTGTCACTGTGGCACTATAATTTTTTATTTTTAGGTCTAGTTCTTTAATCAATTGTCGTCACAGAATGTATGTTTCTTTCAGTCTGTGTAAAGATAAACAAGTAATGTGTTACGGAACTTATACGATAGTAATTGAATCGGGTCAGTTAAGAAATATCTACCTTTGCCCATAGTCACGAGTATTTGACAGATATTAGGAATGCATTCTCTCGGCGGCTAAACTATAGTTAAGATACCATCATTGATATCATAATGGAGCAACAGACATAGCATTTGACATCACAATGTGAAAGATATCTACTAGGTGGCACTAATGTGGAATTTAATCAATGAAAACTTGAAAAAATATGATATTTAATGTGTTTTGCAATATAAATATGTTTGTTTGTCTACATCAAACTAATTAAATTGGGCAGGTTTGATTGAGAGAGTGATAGGGGTGTCCGTTAATTAAGTGAGGGTCGAAAAGGGAAGAGTTGTTTGGAAAGTCATTCATTCCCTCAATTGGCAAGTAGGTACTACGAAAATGTATTTGGTACTTTTTGAATTCATGAAGTTAAACATGAATATTACCAGATGGTTTCCTCAAGTGGAACTTGCCACTTTCACACATCAACTGGTCTAATTATCTTACTTGGCTGTCAGTTTAATACCATAAGTTACTGTTGTGTTAAACTAGCAGCCAAGAAAGCGAACGAGAGTATGCATAAAAAAACTTGTTAATATTGACCATAAAAAGTAATACAAATGTTTATTTCCTCCGCACGCGATTAATTAACATGATGATTGATACGCGTTCCCGGTTATGAATTGAAAATATTTGTATAGAAATCGATCCTTGCATATGATGTAGAAACAATTATACCGTAGTCGTTCTAAATAGAACAGGGAGATATTTTTTGCTATTTTTTATACTAAACTCTATAAAAGTGAAAAATTATTCCCGAAACTTCTGTTATAGTCTGGCGGTTAATATAAATAACCCACAAAAACCTCCGGTCTGTAATAGATGTTTCGTGATTTATTTTTCACTTTTATTAAGTTCTATCTAAAGTCGGTTTTATTCTTTGCTCCTCTTTCAAAGTCGGGTTAATTTTAATAGTTAAGGTATGTCTTTAAAACTACTAAATCCATTTTGATGAAACTTGTGATGTTCCCTAACTTGAAAGCTAAGCAATCAAACAAAAAAAGTATAATTGCGGAGCGATGTTATATTTCCGAAAAATATGTGGACAAACGTACATACTTACACTTTCAAAATTATGCACACATTTTTAGAAGCCGTTTTACATTGATAAATTATATCTCTCATTATAACTTAAATGAATACGAAATTCAAAATTCAAATGAAGTTTGAGTATATGAAAAAAATACATTTTATTTACGTATCTTCCTGATCATTAGCCGAGTGGGTAGAGACAGCCAGCACCTTACAGCTCGGTCTCTATATACGTCTACACGTAGAATGACGTTTTTTTCTGTCTATTTTCTTTATACGTTTATGGCCACTTGTAATACTTATCACATTAAGCGTACCTAATGGCATCAAGTCCGCCATTTCTATTTATTTAATTGTGCAATAAAGCTTAAATAAATGTGTATTGTATGACTTCAGAGTGTTGTAGCTTTTACACATGATATATTTATATATAATTTGGTCATTGATCGTGATTTAAATATAGCTGTAACTTTTTAGCGTTTACCACAACAGGAAAAACGGGTGCCCTTATGGAATTATGAAAAAAATAAGTTCCCCTCCCAATTTCTAGTATTTTCTAATTTCATTTAATTCTGTCGGGATTGCCGCATCCGATAGAAGTCATTTTTGATCACAATAAAACTATAAAATTGATTCTTCGTACTGTGGGGATAATGTACGTTTATAATAACACATTTTTGGAATTAGTTGTGTTAGGAAGAGGAGGCAGAGTTACGAGTATATATTAGCAGAATGCCGATGCATTGTCAATTTATTTAAGAGGGCGCGTTGTTGAAAATAAAAACGAGATATAAAATATTTCAAATTGGTTCTGTCGTTACCAAAATGTGAAATACCCCGAAAATTCTCATTTTTTCCGTTTCTACTAGTAATTACACTTTTTTATAAAAAAATGTAAGCAGAAGATTTTCTGCAGCACTTTTACAATAATTGTAATAGTTTGCGTGTAATTACATGCGTTTTTGTCGCGCAACTTGCTATCCTCTTAACATAATTTACACATAGGCAATTTTAACGATGCTCATAAAAGTAAAATAACAACCTTAACTTGTTTTAGTTTCGATAATTTACGCGACTTCTACATAACAATGCAGCGTAATAAAACACCAGCATTATTATGCTAATCTGCTCATTATTAATTTTATTACGCGGATGAATTTTGAGGTTATCTCTGCTTTGCATCTGTTGTGCAACGTTCACGCTGATGCTTGCACTGTAAATCACTTTCGGCTTTATTGTCCTAAAATTGGACAAACTTTAAAAAAATATACAAAACAATATAAACTCATCTAGAAAGGTATAAACAAATATCTTGAATTCTGTACTGTTCCGGGGCCTCTTCGTATTGTTTTGTACTTAATTTATTATAACTTGTCAAACTACTGTTCCTGTAGTTTTTATTAAAGTAACTTGTGGATAGGTTATAGGATATATTTATACCCGTTTAAGTAAAAAAAAGAATTGTAAAAGTAATAGGGCTAATATCTGAAACGTAGTGGATCTGGCGACAGATAATCTGTACAAAAATAACTTTTATATATTTAGAAAAAGTTTAAAATTGTGCATTCTCTGAATACATAAACAATACATGCAGTTAAAATAGAACCTTAGATAAAACATATAAAAACTGGAATCAAGGTAGTAATATTAAATTTATTTTAAATCTGCCTATAGTATTTAAAAGGGAAGTAGTTAATTACGCAGATAACTTTCACTATAGGTAATTGTTTTTAAACTATTTCAAAAAAGGAAGTTCTCAGTTTGACTTGTATGTATGTTTGTGCGCGATTATCTCGTTTTCAGCATAGTATTTTTCAGACTTAGGAGAAGGTTTTAGATATATTAACCGACTTAAAAATGGAAATTTTTTTAGAGTTGTAGATATTGTCCGCGATAATTTCGCGTTTGGCTGAACCGATTGACGCGGTTTTCAGAAAAGTATTTTAGTGTTATTTATAAAAAATATCAATATCACTAATAAAAACTAAAAAAAACTTATATACATATAGTACTTTCTTGTATAAGCCGCTTCGGAGATAAGTATTGTTCATCACTTTTTGAAGTTTAAAGACAGTTCTATTTTTTAAAAAGGCTTTTTTCTAGTAAAAAAATAATAGAAACAATAAAATATAAATATACCCCATATTAAATTTGTATGTGCCTTAATGTAACCAACAAGCTTTGTCTCGTATGAATGTAACCTAATTTTAAATAATCTTAGGTGATAATGTAGGCCGATTGTTACAGTGAAATCTATACAATGGCGTCTATAGAGAAACTAATTGGGACCAATTAGGGGAATAACTGCGCGGTACTTTCCGTCCGTATTAGCAGGCGGTATGCGGTGCGCGCGCAACTCATCAAATATAACATTTCTACACACCGTTCAATTAGCGTCAATGATTGCTCTGAAGTTTGCTAATCTAGGTGTGTTAGCCACTATTGATGACAACCTTCATGTATGAAAGATCGCCATTGCGTCTCTATCTATAGTAAAGAACACGTAAAATTCATAATAGTCGAATCTCCACAGTTGATTTTAAGCTTAAAACAATGTTAGTTAAGTTCAAAATTGACTGTGGTATTTGACAGTATGTGTGTAGTACAAATAATGTTTGATTATTTTTTAACATCGTATAATTTTTATTAATTAAGCACTTAATTTTAATTCTTGAGTAATATTTTGAAATGCAAAATTACCTCGTAAGCGTGTTTTAGAACACTACCTTTTTATGAAATCAAACTGCAAGAGTGCTATGAAAGGTACTACTAATAATAATTAAGGTGGAAACATGTGTGTCAGTGTCTTCATAAAGATTATTTATGGTTTTTGAAACGTCAAACTATTGTTCATACCTGTTAGCCATTTTTGTATTTTTTTAAACTCATAGTCCATATCTCATTACTATTTGATATTTGATATGAGATAATAATATATATTATAATAATATAATAGATAATTAATGTTAAAAGGGTTTAGCCGGATACGTATGACGAGTCGGCCCCCAAATGGGAATCGATATTGAAACTTATGTTTTAATATCGACTTGATGTTCAAACACGATTTATGTACTTTTCGCGACCGACTTCCGCTTTGACCTTGAGATAGAGAGCAAAATATCCGTATGCTTGACTATTACTGAATGAGATATATCTCTGAAGCTAATTAAGATAAAGAAGTGAAACTAACGCGAGGTGTTAGGTTACATTACAGAGTATATCACATATATTTTTTTATAATTTTTAGAATAAAAAATTACATTAAAAAAATAAAAATAAAAA